TTGAAGATTGCTTGCATGTCTGGTGTAATGACGCACAGACTGTTGATCGCTCACACCCTTTACTACATACTCTGCTGCAGGCCATGCCACCTCCCTGTCCCTGGTGCCCAGGTGTCTTAGTGTGGCCCTGCCCTCACTTCCTTTCCCATATGCTTCTAAGTATGACCTGATCCAGACTAGGGACCCTGGTGCTGTGGAGTGGACAGAGAGGAGACCACAGGAGGGAAGCAGTGATCATCCCGAGAGCATCTCTCACGGGCTTGGTGGGGAACCGCCTGGCTGTAGTTGCAGTCAGAAAAGGCTGGTGCAGATGCTCACACCATGGGCTGCAGGAAGTGAAAAAGTGATGCAGGCTGCTTGCTTGCAGCCTCTGGTTGAGAGGGAAGTGTGAAAACAGACACCAGGCACCCTCAGCTTCAGCTGCCCGTGGGGCTTGAGCCCTGTGGTTGTAGACGTCCCAGCTGCAGCGTGACACCACCTTGTGGACCGGTGTCCGAGTGACACTGTTGAGCAGGTGGGCTGTGCTGGTCATGAGGCTGTGCCTGTAGGCCTGTATGCAGGCTCCTCTGACCCGGAGCGCGGCTGCCTTTTCTTTCCATGGCTCCTCTTGCCTCTTTCTCTTCTTTGGCGCCTTCCCTGATGCTTTTATCCTGACTCCTGTTTTGTTTGCTCCTTTTCTTCCCCTTTTTTGGGTCAGAGCAGATACTCATGACAGCTCTGGAGACCACCGCTTGGGCGTGGTGGGTGCTCTGGCTCTCTCCCCCTGGCACCCACTTGAAGAGGAGCCCAGTTCTGGGCAGGCTGAGTCCAGGCTGTGTTGCAGTCTTGCATCAGAAGAGTGTGGCTCACACTGGGTGGGAAATATTCCTAGCTTGGGCACTGTCCACCTGATCCTGGGAATGTTGACTGGCATTCTTGCAAGGCTGCTAAAAATGAGCCCTATGGCGAGCTCTGGTGGCCTAGTGGCAGGAAACTGCACTGCAATCCCAGAGGTGCATGGTTCAAATCCACCAGATGCTCTGCTGAAGAAAGAGGAACAATTGCCTCCTGTACCAGTCAGATCCAATTTGACAGTACACACATAAAAAAAAAATAACAAAATAAATTAAAAAAATTATTTTTTAAAAAATGAGCCCTATGTTGTGGCCAGCCGCCAGGAGCTGTGGTCCTCTCTACCTGGGGCTGGGGTCACTCATCCCATGGGGCTATTCCACATTCAGTTAGTCACCAGCAGGCCCTGGACACCCCATTGTTACATACCTTTGAGTCAGAACTGACTCATCACTGACCCTTCTGCAGGTTTTCAGAGGCACTAAATCGCCCAAGAGGAGACTGTCCACCTTTCTCCCAGGGAACAGCTGGTGGATTTGAACTGTGTGCAAGCATATTTCCTTACCACTAAGCCACCAGAGCTTCTGAACCACTGCGCTAGTCAGAGTCTTTTCTTTCACACTGTTCTCTAGCCAGGGGACCTGGGGGCAATCCTCTTCCTCTTGGTTAAGGCCAGGACTTCCTGGCTATTTGGCTCCTGGTGAGGGTGAGGGAGCCAGGGAGCCAGGCCTATTGCGAAGAGTGCCAAGGTGTGGACCTAATTCGGAGGTGCCACCCTTGCCTCGCCTGCCTAGCCTCCCATATTCATGGGCAGTGCAAGGGCTCTGCCTGTGGAGACCCTGGCTGGCCTTCCTTTTCTTCCCTCCTGGGCTCTGAGGTTGTGGAGTGTGACTGGTGTTGGGGACCCAGGGCTGACCCATGCATACAACCCTGCCCACTTCCCTTCAGCCACCGCAGAAAGGAGCCAGACAGTGAATCCTAGAGTCCTTTGTCTGGTATAGTTAGCAGCAGCCCCCTCACCTGTAGAACCCTGTGGCTGCCAGCTGGTTGGGCTGTGGATTTCCCTGGGTCTCCCCTGCTGACTTCAGTGTAGGCTCTTCTCCGCCCACACTAAGGCTCTAGCCATAGGCCTGTTGTAGATGAGCTGATAGGGCCTGGGAGCATAACTTGTGTGTGCAGGCTGCAACCTGAGTGGAGGCCCAGGGACGCAGGAGAAAGAATGCTTTCAGGTCTCCAGGGTAAGGAACACACAGATTAGAGGTGGCATGCCCTGGCACGGGCCTACAGCCGCTGCCACGGTCCCTTTACTTGAGGGATCCCTCCTCCAGCTCAGCAGACACATACCTCACTTTTGAGGGGGAAGACTTTGCATCCATCAGAGCTGTTCTGGGCTGGTTAAGCCACATGCCCAGGGGGTGTGGCCTTTACTGCGGCTGGCCCAGGCAGACAACCATACATGGTCACCCTGTGCCACAGGAGTGACTCACCCTGAGGCTGATGTAACCTGGGGAAAAGCCAGCGCTTGCAGAGCTGCTCACCCTGCGGGCTGGGAGCAGCCAAGTGTCCCTCTGCCCTGGGAGAGCTCTGCACTTACCCAGCCTCAAAGAGGATGGCTGGCTTCCAGAGTCACGTGGCAAGAAACCCCTGCCCTTTACCCACTGGGCCAGGCTTCACCCTGTAGGATCCATGTAATGGAGCCTCAGAGAGTGGGAACTGGTTTTTCTTTTGAAACATTCCAAAATTGGTCCTTTCCATAAAGGAGGGCTGGCTTGTTTTCCCTAGAAAAGCAGCTAGGGCCAACTCAGGGCAGTTGTAGGCAAGGGAGGCTCTGCGCTGGGAACTTACTTAGTCACACAGAGGGCCCGGTGAGGAGGCACCATGGAATCTTTCTGAGACTCTCCATTTGAGACAGTTGTGACAATTGCAGGCATTAAGGAGGCCCTTGGACTGAGAATCTGCAGTTGGACAGCAGCTTCTGGAGTCAGGACCTGAGTTCACTGCTCCTGGAGGAACCATCGCGAAGACAGAGGTTTCTGTATGCAGAGATTCCCCAGTTTTATTGTGCTACCCAAGGCCGAGAGTCAGAGAGAGGAGGGCTGTGGTGCCACTCACCTTTGGCAGCATCTTGAAACAGATGAAAAATCTGCCTTGTCATCTTCCTAAGCACAACATGCACCAGTCCACGATGACGTGGAAACATAGCAAAGTGGAAGGCCATGGGAGTATAGCTGAAAGTGGGGTTCTTTCTGTCCTGCATACATTTTTTGAAACTATGAAAGCAACCCCATTTTTTCCTCACCTTTTCATCTCCAGTATAGTATATCATATGACCGTCTGACTCAAAATGTCCCATACCGGTCCATCTCATTTCACCAATACCTAGTATGTCACTATTTATGCATTCCATTTCTTTCTTAATAATGTCTAATTTTCCTACATTCATACTTCTCACAGTCCATGTTCCAATCACTAGTGTCTGCTTACAACTGTTCCTCTTCCATTGTGTTTCCATTTCAGAGGGCTTAGCCTCAGTTGCCATATCTGCTAGTCTACTCTAAGTATGCTCTATTGTACAAAGGGTTTTCAAAGGCTTATTATTTCCAAAGTGGATGGCCAGTCCTTCTTCCTAGTCTGTCTTAATTTGAATGCTCAGATTTAGAACAGTATCAAACAGACAAGCATTTTACAGGAAGGAGCAGATGAAAGACATTTCCCAATTATAGAGGAAGCCAATAGATTCAGTGTTGCTCCTGCCCTTCGTACATGTGTCTCAACCCATCCCTTTTCCCACTCCACCAGCATCCCCTTCCACTCCCGCCTATCCCGTTCAACACCGCTCCCCCATCCAACCCGTGATATGATGGCTTATGAGGTCTCAAGCCTTCTGTGGTTCCAATGCCTTTCGCCGCTGCTGGTCTCTTAATACTGTGCCCAGTATCTCTTGTTTAGGAGTCTCTAAGTCCAAATTCCAGGTACTAGTATTAGGGAAGGCTTTTCTAGCTCAGATAGTTCTCATGAGAAGTCCTTTGCTTTGAGCTTTTGCTCCAAGACTGACTTCTTGTGTCTTAGTGCCTCTTCTCTTCCATTTTGCAGCACGCTAATATTACAGTAGGATAATTTCCCAGGAGAGTGTGATGTGTCCTCTACATCTGGTATGTAAGTGTTGTATTCTTGGTCCAAGGCCCTTGCCCACAGGACTTCTGGGATTGTGGAGTATCTCAAAATCAAGAAAATAAAGATTTTCACCACTGGGCCAACTGGCACCATCATGATAGATGGTTAAGAGATTGAGATTGTTAGCTTCAGTTTGCTTGGCTCTTCACTCAACACTCTTGGTACCAGCAGTCAGGAAATCAAGTCTGCTGTCAGGGACCTCTCCAGAGTACTGAAGAGCCACGATGTCAGTCTGGAGACTAAGGTGCGCCTGATCCAGGCCATGATCTTTGTAATTACTTGCAAAGTAATACCTTAGAAAGCTGGACAATGACAAGGGAGGATAAATGGAGAATTGATGCCTTTGAGCTGTGGTGCTGGAGAAGAGTGTTGAATATACCATAGATAGCTAAGAGAATAATCAGTTTCATCCTAGAGAGGGTAAAACCTGGCTGCTCTTTGGAGGCAAGGATTCTGAAGCTCCGTCTGACATACTCTGGGCATGTTGCAAGGAGTAACCAGTCCTTGGAGTGGGACATCATTCTTGGGAAGGTGGAGAGACAGCTCAAGAGAGTAACACCTTGGATGAGATGGGTTGACTGGTTCAGTGACTGGAATAATGGGAGTAGGTATGTCAGAGGCGATGAGGTTGGCTCAGGATAGAGCAGAGTTCAGAGCTGTTGTACAGAGGGTCGCTATGATTTGTAGACAACTGAAAGCACTTCACAATATCCATTTCTTTAAAAATGTTCAACTGACGGTGTTTTCTCTTTGGTTGGCTGGTTTGTATTTTGACTTTTCAGTGTCATTACCTGGCAAGAAACACACAGGGGTCTGTTTTATGTTGGCTCCTCATAACTTCGGGAATCTTCCTGGAGTGAAACAGGAGATGCTGGTGGGTCTGTGTTTGTGCTGCCTGGCTTTCTGTCCTCGTCTTCTGTTTTCCTTCCCCTAGGAAGTTGAGAGCAGCAGGCATTGCCCTGCTGTACTCATCTTGACTCCTTTCCTCCCCAGCCATGGATTTCCCCCAGCACAGCCAGCACGTCCTGGAGCAGCTGAACCAGCAGCGGCAGCTGGGGCTCTTGTGCGACTGCACTTTCGTGGTGGACGGGGTTGACTTTAAGGCCCATAAAGCGGTGCTGGCTGCCTGCAGCGAGTATTTAAAGATGCTCTTCGTGGACCAGAAGGATGTGGTGCACCTGGACATCAGTAACGCGGCAGGTACCCCGGGTGGGCCCAGGGCCTTCTTGCCAAGGCAGGAGGCTGTGACTGGGTCCTGGGACCATGCAAGGCCCTCCTGATACAGACCTCAGGCCAAGAGCTTGGGGTACAAATTGCCACCCCCTCTTCCCCTCAGGAGTAGGTAGGGGCAGTGTTGGGATGACCAGGGTGGGCACGGGCATGTGTGGTGCTGGTGTCACTATCAGGATGGTCTTGGCAATAAGGAAGGGACTAGTTCTGGATTCAGGTGCCCAAACCACAGTGGCATGGTGTGCCATGAAGAGATCAGGGCCCTTTTAGTAATGCCGAAACTGTGGTCTGAAATGGTCAAGGAACTTGCCTAGAGAGAAGATAGTTTGTGGACAAACCTTGACGAGAAGCCAAGGCTCCTACTTGGGTAGAAGGTCCTTGGTGGTGGCGTGCAGTGGCTGGGTGCAGCAGGGATGAGGATAGCACTCACACCCTCTGTCCTCTGGGGGTCTCCCTCCCTTCAGAGGCTGCCAGGGGGCTGAGAGCCCCCGGCACAGTTGGCTAGCAGGATTTTGGTGCCACCCTGAGGCAGCTCTGTGACACTGGTTGTGCTGTTGGCAGGCCTGGGCCAGGTGCTGGAGTTCATGTACACGGCCAAGCTGAGCCTGAGTCCTGAGAACGTGGACGATGTGCTGGCTGTGGCCAGCTTCCTCCAGATGCAGGACATCATCACGGCCTGCCATGCCCTCAAGTCACTCACAGAGCCAGCTGTCAGCCCTGGGGCAAGCATGGAGGCTGTGGTCGCAGAAGGTAAGATCATTGGCAAGCCGTTCCTGAGCAGCTGGCCAGCCTGCCACTCTGGGTCACCTGTCCAGGCCTTTCTTGCCCTGTAGCCCTGAGCCTGTTGAGAGGTGCAGGTGAGGACTGGCCCCAGTAAGCTTCCACCTTTGCCCCTCCTTTCTGCACCACTGCCTGCACCGAAGTGTTCTCTGCTCCCCGCACCCTTCCCTTCACTCCCTGAGGTCTCAGAAGGTCCTTTGACCCTGGATGGGGGTCACGTTCCTTGGCGGTAGCTTTCAGAGAAGCTTGTGCTTTTCCTCCTGAGTCCCGGCCTCTGGCCGGGATTGTCCTATCATCCCTGAGGCCCACCTTCCCAATAAAACTTGGAGCCTCCCCAACCAGCTGTGGCTGGTTGTACTCACTGTTACAGTCATGGTGCCCAGCTGAAGACCAGACATGGAGCGGGTGTCCTGCAAACAACCTGTTAAATGAGCAAACCAACCAGCCACTACTTGGATGTCTCCCCAGGGAGGGTCCAGGAGAGTTAGCGCTTCCTGACGGGCACTTGATGGGAAATGGCAGGTCTGCCCTGTTCCATCTCCAGGAGAGGACAAACGAGCCAAAGAGGAGAAGGCTGCCGCCACCGCCACCGTGCTGAGCGAGCTGGAGCCCGTGGGAAGCAGCCCACTGGCAGGCCCAGGCAGGGAGCCCAAGGAGGAGCGAGGCGGCCAGGCAGAGAGTGCGGCCAGCAGTGAGTTGGCGGGTGGCTCTGCACCCCAGCAGCTGGTGCCCAGCTAGTGAGGGGCTTCCTCAGAAGGCCCAGGGAGGTGGGGCACACCAGCTCAGGGTAACTAGAAAACCCCACAATTGCAGCCCGAGGCAGAGACACAACCAGCCTGAATTGTGTGCAACCCTGCAAGTTCCAGCCTCACCTCTCTGCCCCCCTCTCCCTCCCACCCCAGGGGTAGAGCAAACAGAGAAGGCTGATGCTCCCCGGGAGCCACCACCGCCAGAGCTCAAGCTCGACCCCACCAGTGGCATGGCTGCTGCCGAGGCCGAGGCTGCCTTGTCGGAGAGTTCAGAGCAAGGTACCCCTAGGCTTGCCAGGCCCCCCCATGCCACCCGGACCTCCATTCCCCACTTGACTCTTCCTTCTCACCTTCCTCCACTGATACCACCCTGAGCCAGTCTCCACGTCAGCTTGATGGCAGATCAGAATCGTTGTTACTCATTCTGTCTTCTGAAACCAATCCTTGATTGTACAGCCCGGCCTAGTCCTTGTTAGCACTGTAGTGTTGTGAGGTATGGCTTCTGGCTCTGAGCAGGGGGTGCCTGGCTGGCCCACCCAACCCTGCAAGGACCTACTGGCTGCCCAGCATGTTCACCCTGTGGCCCCAGGTAGCAGGTGCCTGGCCACCTGAAGATTACCTGGCATGTACTGGGGACATTTGTTACCGGGCTGGGGCACTGGCAGCTCAGGTCCTGGCACGTTGGCCTGGGGTCAGGTCCCTCTGAAGGCCCTTCTCGCCCCCAGCTTCTCAGGACCTGTCCTCTTCCTTATAGAGATGGAGGTGGAGCCGGCAAGGAAAGGCGATGACGAAGGAGGGGCAGCTGGAGCCGGGCCTGCGGCTGTCAAGGAGGAAGGGCCCCAGCTGGAGAACGGCGAGGACAACGAGGAGTTGGCAGGCACGGACTCGGGCCAGGAGCTTGGGGTGGAGGCTCGGAGCCTGCACTTGGGCACCTACGGTGACCGCACGGAATCCAAGGCCTACGGCTCCGTCATTCACAAGTGCGAGGTACAAGCACCCTGGCCACCAGCCCCCCTGCACCTGCCGCCTAGCGGCAGCCCCCTCATACCCCTTCCCTGCTGCACCATGCAGGACTGTGGGAAGGAGTTTACGCACACCGGCAACTTCAAGAGGCACATCCGCATCCACACGGGTGAGAAGCCCTTCTCGTGCCAGGAGTGCAACAAGGCCTTCTCTGACCCCGCTGCATGTAAGGCGCACGAGAAGACGCACAGGTACTGGGGCCCATCCCTCACATCCCTGTGTCCTTGGCCCCATGTCCCCATCTCTGTGGGACACGGTGACTCCCTCTTCCTGCCACCCTCTCCCTGTGCAGCCCGCTGAAGCCCTACGGCTGTGAGGAGTGCGGCAAGAGCTACCGGCTCATCAGCCTGCTGAACCTGCACAAGAAGCGGCACTCAGGCGAGGCGCGCTACCGCTGCGAGGACTGCAGCAAGCTCTTCACCACCTCGGGCAACCTCAAGCGGCACCAGCTGGTGCACAGTGGCGAGAAGCCCTACCAGTGCGACTACTGCGGCCGCTCCTTCTCCGACCCCACCTCCAAGATGCGCCACCTGGAGACGCACGACACCAACAAGGAGCACAAATGCCCCCACTGCGACAAGAAGTTCAACCAGGTCCGTGGGCCGCTCCCCCGGGGCGTGCGAACTGGGGCTCGCTGTGGGGCGGGGGCGGGCCTGGACGGTCCCACACAGACCTGTGGGTCAGGAGCTCTGCTGAGGAAGCTGGCCAGGCAGGCTGGGTCTCCCTCGGCACTGGTGGGGGGGATGACCAAGCTGACCGCCTGCCTGGGCACAGGTGGGGAATCTGAAGGCTCACCTGAAGATCCACATTGCTGATGGGCCCCTCAAGTGCAGAGAGTGTGGCAAGCAGTTCACCACCTCAGGTAGGGCCGGGCTGCCCGGCTGCCTGCTCCCCTCCATCCTCAGCCTTCAGTGCTTGCCATGCCAGGCTTCCCTTGGTGTCATGCAGGGAACCTTAAGCGGCACCTTCGGATCCACAGTGGAGAGAAGCCCTATGTGTGTATCCACTGCCAGCGGCAGTTCGCGGACCCTGGTGCGCTGCAGCGGCACGTGCGGATCCACACGGGTGGGTGAGCGATCCTGTAGGTGGCCGGGGGCTGGGGACTCAGAGGGGAAGCAGACGCTGACACTGTCTTCTGCCCCGTTGCCAGGTGAGAAGCCTTGCCAGTGTGTAATGTGTGGCAAGGCCTTCACGCAGGCCAGCTCCCTCATCGCCCACGTGCGCCAGCACACTGGCGAGAAGCCCTACGTCTGCGAGCGCTGTGGCAAGAGGTCTGGTCCCTGCCCTTGCCCCTGCCCCCTGCCCCCCCAGCCTGTGGCTCTAAGGCCTTGCCCCTTAGGGAGTCAGAAACAAACTGAGGGTGAGTGGAGAACTAATCACTTGTTACCCAAGCTCAGGGCTTAACTCTGGGGGATCTTCCAACCTAAGACAAGGCCAGAGGCCCCAGCTCCCTTTTTCCCAGGCGCCTTTGACAGTGAATGCAAACTCCTCCCTCTGCAACCTTACAGGTTTGTCCAGTCCAGCCAGCTGGCCAATCACATTCGCCACCATGACAACATCCGCCCCCACAAGTGCAGTGTGTGCAGCAAGGCCTTTGTCAATGTGGGGGACCTGTCCAAGCACATCATCATCCACACGGGTGAGCAGGGTCCCCACCCAGGAGCAGGGAGGCGGGAGGCTTGGGCTGCTCTGTTGGGTGCCCCCAGGCACTTTATGTTGGGAAAGACCAGGCTGCTGGGAAGTGGAGGTCCAGTGAGGTCCCTGACCCGTACTCCCAGCATCACTGTCCCACAGATGAGATTTAACCTTGCCTTCTTGCCCAGGAGAGAAGCCTTACCTTTGTGACAAATGTGGTCGGGGCTTCAATCGGGTGGACAATCTGCGTTCCCATGTGAAGACTGTGCACCAGGGCAAGGCAGGCATCAAAATCCTGGAGCCAGAGGAGGGTGGAGAGGTCAACGTGGTCACGGTTGATGACATGGTCACACTGGCTACAGAGGCACTGGCAGCAACAGCTGTCACTCAGCTCACAGGTGCGGGCTGCGGGCAGCAGAGGGTGGTCAGAGGCCACTTGTCTCTCGGGTGGCAAGATAGGTGGGTTGGTGCCTCAGGCCTTAGGCCCTGCCAGTTCTTCCCACAGTGGTACCAGTGGGGGCTGCAGTGACAGCCGACGAGACAGAAGCACTTAAAGCCGAGATCACCAAAGCTGTGAAGCAAGTCCAGGAAGCAGGTGAGAGGGGCTGCTGGGGAGTGAAAGCTGGTGGACCTAACAGGGCCTGTTCATGCTGACCGCAGCCTCCACCTCCCACAGACCCCAACACCCAGATTCTCTACGCTTGTGACTCCTGTGGAGAGAAGTTTCTGGATGCCAACAGCCTGGCCCAGCACGTGCGGATCCACACAGCTCAGGCCCTGGTCATGTTCCAGGCAGACACAGACTTCTACCAGCAGTATGGGCCAGGTGGCACGTGGCCAGCGGGGCAGGTGCTGCAGGCTGGGGAGCTGCTCTTCCGCCCTCGGGATGGGGCCGAGGGCCCACCTGCCCTGGCAGAGACCCCGCCCACAGTCCCTGAATGTCCACCGCCTGCCGAATGAACAGGCACCCCTCCTCCTCCTGTTTATTTAAAGATGGAGGGCACCCTGGAACTGAGTAGGGTGGCCCTGCGCCGTAGAGAATAAATTTGATTATTTTCTAATGCTGCCTAGAGCATGTGGGGGAGGGAGCTGGGAGCTGGCTGCAGAGATGGCTGATGGCACAGAAGAGCAGCCCCACCCAGACACAAGCCAAGAGACCCAAGGTGGCTGCAGAGCTGGAGTGTGGGCGGCATGTTAGGGGCCCAGGACCAGGGCTCCATGTGCCTCCCACCCCACACAAGCTTCTCTTTGGAGTGTTCCCACTTGTTAATTTTAGGGCTTGATTTCCCCTTGCTCTCCAAGGCCCTGAGGATTGGAAAACAGGAAGGGGCCTAAAGGACCTTGCTAGGACTCAAGACAATCCAGCACGCCCCCAGCTTTACCTTCTTAGCCAAGCCCAGCCCCAAAACTCTGCTCAGGGTCTTTTCATCTAGAGCAGCTAGGCGGGCAGAGGAAGTGCCCTGGGCTTGCTGTACTGGGAGTCAGAGTCCAAGGATGGAGGCTGGAAGTGCCATCTTTGGGAATGTTTACTCTGAATCAGTGCAGTCTCCAACCAGGCAGGGGCCCAGGGGCCAGCAAGCCACGACCTGCCCGCAAGGAGCAGTGGAGCAGCTTCATTTGGAGCTCAGTTTTGTTCTGTCAACAAAGTGGCCCCTGTTTGCACCTCTTTTCTGTAGTTTTCCCATAGCAGTTGTTTTAACACTTCAGAGACAACCCAAGTTCTTGCACCGGGAGTACAGATTTGTAGGGACCCTGTTTGATACTGAGATCAAGCTCTTCATGTCCCCAGGTTCCTTGCCCTTGCACCTCTGCTTATAGAGGCCTTTCCTACCTGCTCCTGACTCCTGTACAAGATTACCTTGCCCACTGCTCTGAGGGAAAGGAAAGGGGCAAGGACCAACCAAAGCTTGGTAGATGTGCTGAGGCTGCATCGGAGAGGGTGGTTCTATACTGCATCCAATTTGAAGTGCCTTCAATATTACCTGGGAACCAATAGGATCTTGAGATTTCGCAAATCATTTTCACCATACTGAGAACTGGTTAAAGCTCAGCATCTGTGATAAAAATGTCTTTGTGCAGGATCAGATGATTCTCGGGGAGGCCTGGCAGGAAAGGAAGCAGGTCCATGTACAGATGTGGAGGTAGGAGGGGTGAGCTGGCTGTCCCCACAAGCCAAGGACCTTTGGTCCTCCCACCCGAGTGACAATCACATTCACACTTAATGTGTTTTGTATTTTTTAATAAAGTTTGTAATCCAATGGACACACAAAACAAAACTGCGCTGAGAAAAACAGTTTCATAAATTAATAAGTGTTAGGAAGTTGGGGGCGGTCCAGGTAGAGATCAGCCAGTCTCTCTTTACAGGTGCTGT